CGCGGAGATGGCGGAGGAGAAGAAGCTGAAGCTGAGCCACACGCTGCTGCCCGCCGAGTCCATGAAGGTGATGGCGGAGGCCATGGGGGTGCCGGGGGTCCCTGAGGAGACGTGCCAGCTGCTGGCGGAGGAGGCGAGCTATCGCCTCAAGGAGGTGGCGCAGGTGAGGGGGACACCCCCAGATCTGGGGGGGGTTCAGGACCCCCTTGGGTCCCTCATGTTTGGGGGGTGGGGGTGGGCAGGGGGACACCCCCAACTTTGGGGGCTGGGACCCCCTTAAAGTTCAAATTTTCCCTCAAAAATCCCCTTTTTTCCACCCTCGCCAACCCCAAACCTGTCCTGAACCCAATCATTCCTCCGCCCAAATCTCATTTTCCCCCTGTTTTCCCATTTTGGACCCCCTTTTTTGCTCCTAAATCGCCTTTTCATCCCTTATTTCCTCCCAAAATTTCCTTTTCTCCCCCTTTTTCCCATCCTAAACTCCCTTTTTCCCTCCAACTTGTTCCTCAACCCATTAAATCCCCTTTCGCCCCAATTTTCCCGTCATAAACCCATTTTCATGCTTTTTTTCCTCATTCTCCTAACTTTAAAGGCTTTTGTCTCCCTTATCCCCCTTTTTTCTCCATTTATTTTTCCTTTGAATTAACCCAAATATTTTCTCAAATCCCTTTTTTTCCCTTTAAATCCCCTCACAAATCCCATTTCCCCCCCAAAGCCTGTCTGAACCTCCTTTTTTTCTCCCCAAATCCCATTTTTCTCTTTGAATTCCCTCAAAAATCCCATTTTTTTCCCCCAAACCCTCTCTGAACCTCCTTTTTTTCTCCCCAAATCCCTTTTCTCCTTTAAATCCCCTCACAAATCCCATTTCCCCCCCAAACCCTCTCTGAACCCCCCTTTTTTTCCTAATTCATCCCAAAAATCTCTTTTTTTCCCCACAGGATGCTCTCAAGTTCATGCACATGGGGAAGAGGAGGAAACTCACGACGGGGGACGTGGATTTTGCCCTAAAACTGAAAAATGTGGAGGTAAAACTATCCAAAAACTAGGAAATACCCCCAAAATCCACGGAAAACTGCCCTAAATTGAAGAAATCTTCCTAAAGCTGAGGGAAAACCTCCCAAAAATTGGAGGAAATCACCCCAAAATTGGTGGAATTCAATGCTAAATTGAGGGAAATCCTTCCAAAATCCAGAGAAATGCTTCCAAATGCAAGGAAAGCTCCACAGAATTGAGAGGAACATCCCAAAATTGAGGGAAGTTCCCAAAAGTTGAGGAAAACATCCCTAAAACCAAGGAAATACTCCTAAAAATCGAGGGGAATGTCGCCAAATCCAAGGAAACACCCCAAAACTGAGGGAAATATGCCCAAAATAAAGGGAAATTCCCACAAAATTGAGGGGAAAATCTCTCAAAATCCTGGGTAATGCACCCAAAATCAAGGAAAATCCCCAAAATTTGAGGGAAATACCCCCAAAATCCATGAAAATCCCCCAAAACTGCAGGAAACTCCTGGAAAATCCAGGAAAATCCCATTTTTTTCTGTCTCCCAGTCTCTGTACGGGTTCCTCGCCCAGGAGTTCATCCTGAGGAAAAAACTCCCAAAACTGAGGGAAACTCCCACAGAACTGAGAGAAATTCCACAAAGTTGAGGGAAAACCTCCAAAAACTGAGGGAAACTCCCACAGAACTGAGAGAAATTCCACAAAAACCGGGAAAAGCTCCCAAAACTGAGAGAAATTCCCACAAAATTGAGGGAAAACCTCCAAAACTGAGGGGAAACTCCCACAGAACTGAGAGAAATCTCCACAAAATCCAGGGAAAATCCCCCAAAAATCCAGCAAACTCCCCCAAAATCAGGGAAAATCCCCCCGAAATCCAGGAAACTCCCCCAAAACTCCATGAAACTGCCCCAGAACTGCAGGAAACTCCCGGAAAACCCAGGAAAATCCCATTTTTTCCCTTTCCCAGCCCCTGTACGGGTTCCACACCCAGGAGTTCATCCCGAGGGAAAAACTCCCAAAACTGAGGGAAATTCCCACAGAATTGAGGGAAAACCTCCCGAAACTGAGGGGAAAGCCACCAAACCTGAGGAAAATACCCACAAAACCAAGGGAAAACCTTCCAAAATTTATGGAAATTCCCCCAAATCCTATGGAATCTCCCCCAAAATCGAGGGAAATATCCCCCAAACTGAGGGAATCTCCCTGAAAATCAAGGAAAAAATCAAAAATTGAGGCAAATCCCCACAAAATCAGGGAAAATCTCCCAACAATCCATGAAACTCCCCCAAAATCAGGGAAAATCTTCCCAAAACTTCATGAAACTGCCCCAAAACTGCCGGAAACTCCCGGAAAACCCGTGAAAATCCCATTTTTTCTGTTTCCCAGCCCCTGTACGGGTTCCACGCCCAGGAGTTCATCCTGAGGGAAAACCTCCCAAAACTGA